AAAAATTCTCATCTTAAATCTAATTTGTAAAGGTCGTTTCTAACATTTTTTAACCACGTTTTTAGTTTACCTCTACCTTTCTTAATATAAGCTAAAATCTGATACATCTTCTCTCTTAACGGGTCGTCGGAAGGCCGTTGTTTTATGTGACCAAATCATCTAAGACGACTCTCTTATCAAATATCTTCCACTGGAGCTACTCCAACCTTTTTAGACTGCAGAGAAAATTTTTTTGTTTTTGCTTAAGTCATCACTTCTTGTATCCCTGTTGTGTTTAGGAGTGAGTGACCCTGGAATCATTATTAAAGGATGAGGATCTGAAGATCACCATTAAGGACTGGTAATTAGCAGTGGAAGATCTTACCCCACTTCTGAAGCTGAAATAAAGAACAAGCAGCAGGTGGAGAAATATCAGAGTAAGATCTCTAGCATCCAATTAATGGTGATTGACAGGTTTAAGTGCTCTGCTCTGTTCCTTTATTGTAGCATAATGCAGCATATTTCAAATAGTCTTAGCATTCAAATATCTTGTTATATTCCAATAAACCATTGATGTTCACATCCTGTGATGTGGATTTTTTTTTTCATTAGTATATTGGAGTTTTATTTAAATCATATAACTAGCTTTAGGATTCTATTTCCATTAACTAAAAGCTTCAAAAAGTGCTTTTTAATGTCCAAATAAGTAGGATTATTAGAATTCGTTTGGGACGGCTTTTTTACTTCTTCTTAAATTAACTTTTATAACAAAAATAAAAATTTTGTACTACATACTTGTTTTAAGAAACACTAAGAAAGCCGTCCCAAACGAAGCCTAAAGTTTTTTGTTTGGGACAATTTTTTTATTGCTTTCTAAAACATCTTAATTTTTTGCACTAAAAAGCAGTTTTAAAAGCAATAAGAAAGCGCGTTGTTGGTGTTTGCTCATATATGACTCCTTAATTAGCTTGATTATATTTTTTTTTTACTAATTGATCTGTCTAACAAATCAAATTCTGAAATTCAAGCATGGAATTGTTCATTAATATTTTGCATTTAGATCAGTATATATTATTTATGTGTTTATATTATTTTCGATAAATTATTTGAGATAGATATAAATATTTTTTTATTGGTTAACTCATTTATAATATCTCAAAATAATATAATAATTTTAAACCATTATAATTAAATTTTTATTAGAACATTTGATATTTATTTTTTTTCAATGCATTTATTTACATATATATAATATATAATATATATATATATATATATTTTTTGACAAAATGACTAAACTAGACAAACATTAAAAAAAATAGAATTTTAATTTAATTTGAGATTAATGAGGAGAATTTTTCTATTTACAAGGACGGGATCAGATAATGGCCATCCGCCCTTCGCGGCCGGATTCAGGTAAATGTTGACCGTTGATTTTTTCCAAATGCAGATTTACCAAATGCTGACCGTTGGCTTTATTTATATAATTTATATCATATTTATCTGAAAAATAAAACAAAATTTATATTTTTATAAATTATAATATAAATATATATAAAGAGACGAGAAATAATAAAATAAGATAAAGTTTCTATTTAATTTTAATAAGTCAGGTCCAAAAATAATAACATTATTATTAATAAAAAGTCCAACTGCAAAAAAATAACTTTCGCTGCCCACCATTGGTAACCTGTGAGGTCAGATGGCAAATATATCAAATTCCCGCAAGAAAAGCAACGGTCCAATTTATTTCTATTTGTAGCTTCCCCTTCCCTCTCTTCTTAAACCCGGCACCGAAGAGAGAGATCCCCGTTCCGAATAGCTTCTTGCCGCGCCCCCTCCTCTCTCTCTCTCTCTCTCTGTGTTGGCCTTAATTTCCTTGTTCGATGATCGATCGTCCTCAATGGTTCAAAGGAAATAATTGGATTAGCAAGAGCGAGAGAGAGAGATTAGAAGAAAAATCCTTCTTTTTGATCAGAAATCGTAAAGAAAAGAAGGGAGAAATCAGAAGGCGAGGCCTTCGTATGAATGACTACCGGACCGTGGAACAGAGCTCCGACCATGGCTCTTATTGCCGCCGGATGCCACCACCTTCCAGGCGGAGGCAGCGGCAGCGGCAGCGGTTTCAAACGCTATCACTTTTGTTCCTTCGATCACCCTGACCTTCTCTCCTTCCCTCCCGCTTCCCTGTTCCAACGCAGCCGCTCCACTCCATGTTTACTCTCCTCTGCTTCCACCGACGACGACGTCGCAAGTGTGGTGATCATCGGCGGTCGCAGCGCCCCTGGCATCCGCGCCCTCGTCGCCGAGGCTGCCGCTACCATGACCTTTGGTGCCTGCCCTGTCCCCACGGAGACTGGCCTAGGCAGCGCCTACTTCCTCGACGACCAGGCCGGCGACTGCGTTGCCGTTGTGAAACCCGTCGTCATCGACGACGACAACGAACAGATGGCCTTCCCCAGCTCCTGCATTCGTGCCTGCGAGACCGGCGCCCGTGAGGCCGCCGCCTACCTGCTCGACCACGGCGCCTTCGCCGGAGTCCCCCCCACTGCCCTCATCCGAATCTCCCACCATTCTTTCCCTCCGGCGCAAAGCGTCGCCTCCATCCAACGCTTTGTTCCTCATGACTGTGACGCTGGCGACGTCGGCCCATCGAGGTTCTCAGTCTCCTCCGTCCATCGGATAGCCATTCTTGATATCAGGCTGCTCAATACCGACCGCCACGCCGGTAACATTTTAGTAAAAAAACATAGAATTGATAATAACCGAAGCTTTGAAGGCGGAGATCTCACCACAGAGCTCGTGCCCATCGACCACGGTCTCTGCTTGCCGGAGCTGCTCGACGACCCTTATTTCGAGTGGCTCCATTGGCCGCAGGCCGCCGTGCCATTCTCGGACGAGGTCATAGAATATGTTTCAAAGCTCGATCCTTTCAAAGATGCCGAGCTCCTCCGCACGGAACTGCCTTCGATTCGAGAACCAGCGATCAGAATCCTCATACTTTGCACTATATTCCTAAAGAAAGCGGTGGATTACGGCCTCTGCCTCTCGGAAATTGGCAGAATGATGACGCGAGAGTCCTGCAGGCTCGAGGCAGGAGAAAGTGTGCTCGAGACTCTCTGCAAGAAAACTGAGGAAACCATCGAGGCCGGAAGCCAACTTTCAGACAATGACGAAGGTGAATTTGGAGAAGGTGATGAGAGGAAGGAATATCAGTTCTCCATGGACTGCGGTGATGAGGACAAGCTACTTATTCCCCTCCTCCTGAGCAAGAAGTCTTTGGACCCTTTCCAGGAAGAAGAAGTAGAAGAAGAAGAAGAAGAAGAAGAAGAAGAGCGTGGAAAAGGAATGATGATGAAGAGTCTGAGCTTCTCGGATGGCGAAAGAGTGCAAAGAAGCAAGATGATATCTTTCAAGAGTAAAAGCGAAGAACAATGGAAGTTATTCTTGGAAAGATTTGAGAAGCTTTTACCTGAAGCTTTTGATCAGGAAAGGAAGAGGATGAAGACGAAGCTTAGGCTTGTCTCTTCCTGCTGAGTTAATTTAAGAGATGCAAAGAGGTAGAAGATGAGGGTATAATAGTAAATTAGGTAATGCAAGCAAGACAAAGTTGGTGCTCCCCTCATGCATGGGAGAAATAATTACATGCTTAGTAGATGTATATAGATGAATATTATATCTATATAGATCTATAATTGTGGAGGAGACCATACATATATGCACATATAATTTACATACATCAAATGATTTCTACATGATGCATACAAACATCATGTGTACACACCTTCACTATGTGATGTATGTATAGTATGTGTACAATATATGCTCCCTATACATATTCATATGCATCTTTTATATATTTAATATATATTTATACACATTTATTATACATTTATAATAAATGTAATATTTTTTTTCTAATTAGTGAGGGTGTGCTATTTTATTTAGAGAGTTTTTTCTCCTCTTTTCACCTTGAATTTTCAATGAGGTGATGTAAAAATTGATAAGTGGATTAAGTGAAGTACTTCATGGATTGTAAATCATTAATCAATAAAATTTGATGATATTATGTTTAAGATTTTTGTTGATGTGGAGGCTTATAGTTGAAGAAGCATGTGATTGGAGTATAATTTTTTTTATGAAAATAATTGTAGAATTGTTAGGAAATGAACATTTTTTTAAATAGTCAACTCATGTGCATGATAATCAAACATAAATTTTTAAATGATATTCTAATGATTTTTTAGATATTTTGTGGCCTGGTGTCTATTTTTTTTAGGCAATTCCCCCTCTGCTACATTGTGTAGAAGTGTTATCATTAGGTTCTACCCCCTTGGACATCCGACATATCCGCAAAATTTCTACACTTTTACTTATAAGTTGCGCCAACGATACCAAATTCAACTCACTCCGAGCCCAAACTAGCCCAAATCAAAGACCCGAAACACATTTGGAAGGTTCAATCCACAATTTGGATTACCAAACAGTTTCCAAATATGACATATTTATAGTCGAATCGAGCGGCTCGATGAGACAAATCCAATGAGCCCAAGACCATCAAATTTTGATATCATTAGAACCTTCAAATGCCTGATAATGGTTCACGATCAAGGGATTCAACATTGACTGTCCATTCAAATCACTCTCAACTTACCCCTGATCTTCCTTCTATTTACTGGTCATGTTACTCTTAGAAAAATATAAATATCCCCTCATTTCTCTTAAGAGGGGACCCAAGTAAGAAGCAAGAAGCAAGAATCAAGAAGAAGAAGAGAAGAGAAGGAAGAAGCTCCTCCTCGACCACCGCCGAACTTTCAACCGACAGCAGACCGACGCCGGAATTAAGCAAGGAAGCAAGAAGAGAATGAACAAACTTATCGTCAACCACCGTCGTAGTTCCACCCAAACTCCAAGTGACGTCGGAGTTCCATCCGACCTCCACGTGATGTTGGAGTTTCGTCCGTCTTCCAAGTGATGCTAGAACTTTGTCCGACAACTGACGGACACCCGTTTTCTATTTGTTCGCCAACTAAATCCAGCATTTCGATATCTGTTTGCAATTGAAATTCAAACCGAGAGTTGATTATTGTAATTTGATGTTCCTAAATTTTAGTGACAAGTTAGGCTCTTATAACTTAAGCAAATACTAGTGTAATTTTTTCAACTAGGCATGGCCCCGTGATTTTTCTCTTTCTAGGATTTTCCACATAAAAATCCTGATGTTTTATTTCTCTTCTCTTTGTGTGCTGGATATCCGTACAATGCTGAGACGAAAAATTCTAAATCTATCACCGCATATATTCTAGCTCGCAACAATTATAATATATATTTATAAAAATTTTAGTAACTTCAGAGAGCATATTTGTGCAGTCCTAAAGAGTACTTCAGAGAGCATATGAGTGCAATCCTAAAGAGTAATAAAAAGACTATAATATATTATAGTTTATAAAAAAAGTGATTAGATATCTTGCATGCATGTGTTAGCCTAAAAGGGTGTTTGGTATCATATTTGTCTTGTCTTCACTATTAAGTAGGATTTAACGTAAATCCAGCCAAATACCTTTGCCTGCGCATCTAAATCCGGCGACTCCGTAAATTCTGGATTTACGGATTTACGGCATAAATCTCGGTAAATTCGGGTAAATCCTAATCCCATTTTTTCTCGGATTTAACGAGATTTACGGGATTTGGCCGGAGAAGAGCACGAAAGGGAGAAAGTTACCTTCAAAGCCAGCGAGCTCCCGTTGTTGCATCCAATCAACATGTCATAACTTCTGATCCGACAGGAAGGTAAAGTTGTCGAAGGAGTGAAGTCGAACAGCCATGAATGAGCCAAAGAAACTACGCGTGCAATCTCTCTACACCTCTTGCGAAGCAACCGAACAGCATGCTCAAACAAGAGGACATTGTCGGCCCCACACTGCATGATCTTCCCAAGTGACCTAATTGCTTGCTCGCAACTGATGCCCGGCCCATTCGATACATACATAATACATCGTGCAGAAATTATCTGAGAATATCAGGCATTCGAACTTCCTAACTCTCTTGATCTTCCTGCAACCGAAACCCTAGCCGGTGAACCTCCAGCGAGACTCGACCTCCCTTCTTCGATCAAAACCCTAAGCCGCTCTCCTTCCAAACGCACAGCACGCTCGACCTCCTGCTCTTGCAACCAAACACCGCACGCGACCCAGCTTGACTCTGCACCGAGCCACGCGATCCAATTTACCTCCGATCGACCCCTTCCCGCACTCAAACCTGCTTCAGATCCTTCATGCTCCTAATGGCTTGACCCCTGCTCCCGATTTGCCGCTCCAGTCGCCGATCGGAACCCACGCTGTGAGTTCCCAGGCAACTCCCACTCGACCTCCCTCTCTCATGATATCATTGTAGCACGCAAGAAGATCTGATCGGCTTCATCTTCCCTGGACCACACATATACTCGATCGCAACCATAGCAGCACCGACCCAACCCGCTCGATGATCCATCTCGATCTCTGACTTGTCCTGAGGTATGTATGTATTGAAGACTTGCGTCGTTTGGAGATGACCAATTTAAAACCACTACGTCGTTGTAACATATAGATCTAGGTGGTAAGAATTCAATTTGAAGACCTTATGTCATCGTATTTTTTATCATGACTAGAAGAACTAAAAGAAAATACCTCCCAACTTGCCCTCCTAGGGAAGGGAGGGGATGTTGAAAGGCTATCAAAATTGAAACAATTTGCTATGACTTTAATATAATACTCATTAGGAATTTTGAAATATACAACTTTGAGGTAATATAAGACCAAAGCATATAAGTTTGATGCATCCTTTAGCCAAACTGGAATCAATGCCCCTATAGTCTTTGCTTGAAAACATCCATCACAGATCTCCTCATGTCTTAGCAATGTATGATTAGAGTTCGGTTCTTTGAGAAAACTCAAATCAAACTAAGAACCTCAAAAGCATTTTTAGACTCTTTATATTGGATAAGCTTTTTATTGTAGCTAGTCTCTTTGTTGTGATGAATTTTTGATGCACAAGAGTCATCCTATTATCCGTCAAATCTACACGACATTCTTCGGGTTGTCGATAATGATTTTTGACTTAGCCATTTGATAGAGGATGCTACAATTCACCTATGAGTAGGAGCAAGGGATTCGTAGCGCACACAATTAGCCTATAGGTAGCATTAAGTGATTCATAGTAAATGATGTAACTCACTCATAAATAAGAACATGATCTCCTAATGCCTATTTAACAAACATTCCCTACAAGCAATGTTGAATGATATAATAACTAAAAAGATACATCTTCTATGTATTACAACTAAAACCTAATTTATCTACAAGCCCCTAGATCCGTAGCCCACTTATACACGCTAACAAAAGACTATATCCTTCTGATACTTCTGATCAATACGTTAAAATAAATCTCACATGTGCTCTGACAAACATGTTAAAATTGCAAACATAAATGTTTGAGAATATTGTGCGGGGTTAAATGCTCACTAATATAACATTTTCAAACTAAGCACATCTCTCATATAAGCAAATCTCTCATGTGCTCTGATCGTCATATCTAATACCTAAATATAACATTTCGAGAATGATTCGTGAATCAAATATTTTAAGTTTCATCCTCCTCTTTGAAACAATTGTAGTTGACCTAACTTGGATTAATAGCTTATTCAGGGTGATAAATTTCAAATTAATTTCAACTCACAAAGACCAAATATTGTGTCGTGTATATCACTAGCAAATAAAGCAAGTCATTGTTGTCGATAAGATGTCTTCTATCATGTTGGGTCGACTACCTCTTCTGACTAAGTAGACCAACGATCATGACAACCCAGGACGATGGAACCATGTGATCTTGATCGGGCTCGTCTTGATTCCCCCCATCACCTATTTTAAGTTTATGGTGATAAATATCAAATTTTAAAAATGCACAATCCAATTTTAAAATCCCTAAAGTTGTTGCTACTATATACTGGGTACTCAATGCTTATCTTATGACTAGCCTTAATTGAAAGTTCTCTCTAGTTATCAGGAGGGATAATTAACTATAGGGGCTTGCGCCTATAAGAAATCGGAACTTAGATCATAAAGTCCTCACAAAATGAGGGCGAAATCTCTGCGTAGTGTCTTATCTAAAACTCAATCTATCTTCTCAAAATTTACATGAAACTTAAACCTGTTACAACTCTCCCCGTCAACACAACAAAGAGCGACGCGGAGAGACCAGGTCGTGAATTTTTGGAACCCACCGATCCTAGGTTGAGAGAAGGAGATAGAGTTATAGTTCATTTCTTACATTCATTCTATTTCATTTGATTCTCCCTAAGAGCTAAGTATATATAGGATACAAAGATACCTAATGAACTACTAATGACCTAATAAGTGCTCATAACTTCTAAACTATCAATATACACATTGACCTAATAAAATATATATTACAAATATTCCCCCTAACAAACTTCAACCAAAATTTAGTCAAAAATAAGCTCTTGAATGATGGTGCAACAGAATATGCAGAGTCATAGTTTCATTCTTAAATTTTTTGAGGAATTAAACTGCTCTTACTTATGAGGCATAGCAATCTCAATTATTGGCCTATCATGTTTTATCATTTAAGAGTTTTAATATTTTTTAACCCTCAAAAAGATATTTTTTTCCTTTTTCTTTTAATACTTGCAACTTCAAAGCAGAGATTAAGCCCAAAGAAAACTCTTTTTTTTGAGAGAGAGAGAGAGAGAGAGAGAGAGAGGGGGGAGGGAGAATTTAAAAAAAAAAAAGGAAAGGGATTTTAAATAGGTACCGTTCACTTGAAGACCTGATTGTTCAATTTGAAGCCCGTTGTATCTTAAATCTGGGCGGGATGATTTTTAATTCGAAGACCTCGCACCGTCGTATCTTTGATCCGGGCGAGATGAACAAAGGCAAGTGCCCCTCAACTTCCATGTGCAGGGAGGGGATGACGGATGCTGCTAGAATTTTGATTGAACGGACTTTCAAGAAACCAGATCTAAATCAAAATTTAAGTTAGAAGTATAACTAAATAAAATCCCATAAAATTTAAAAGATAA